GCAAATTTTTTGTAATGAAAAATTTATCAATTTATTGGAAATAAAAAAAGAAAAATTTTATCATTTCCATTTCCATACAAAATACCTTTTATAAAATAATCCTAACTTACATAATTATTAGTTTACATATAATTAACAAATTGATTTCAAATAATTGAAAATGCAAATTTTTTGTAGTTCGTATTATTTCCTTTGAAGGAAGAAATTGCTTAATAATTAGACAGAAAAAAAAAGTAAAATGTTGAATTATTTTTCTAACAAATATTAATTATCAAAATGTTACATTCGAATTAATACTTTTTGAATTTATAATTTCAAGTTGAAAGAAAAAAATTTGCATACACTTTTTCTTTTTGCACTTAAAAGTTTTTGATTGTAAAATAAATGTTTAAATGTTAAAATTTCAATTCATCAATAAATTGATTTTATAAAAATTGTCAAAAATATTATTAATACATGAATAGGATGAAAATAGAGGAAATGAAAAGGAAGAAAAAAAAGCTAAAAAGTAAATGAATCATTTTATTTTTTTTTTTTTTACATTTATATCAATCATAACATAATATAACATAAACGTAACATTAATATCATCACTGATCAACCCCTGTATATTATCATCATTTATTTAAATTTAAACAAGTTCAAGTGTAAAATGTTGAAAGAGGAGAAGGAAAAAAAAAAGAGACTTTTCCAGTTTATTTTATTTCAACTCCTTCTTATTGGTTTTACTGATAACATTTTTGCAACATATTCTCTAACTGTAATTTAATTATTACCGTACTTTATCATTTGTTACCGTACTTTATTCTAACGTTTATTCGTATTAAATTCGATCGATGAAAATTCTTTATTTGAAAAATTTTTATTTGAAATTGCATTAAAATCGATTGATTACATCTATTTATTTAATCAAGAAAGAGACGACTTTCATCAACCCATTTATTCATTTTAATAATCAATTAGATTACTCCTGTAATCGATATTTCATTTACTGTTCGATTATCATTATATGATTAAGAATGAAACAGTAATAAAGAGAAAAAAGAAAAAAAAAAAAAAAAAGAATGGGTCTTCGATTATCAATCGAAATCAATCATTTATTTAGCACATACTTGAATGATTTGTTAATTTCAAACGATTACGATAATTATTGCTACAGTAATTATGAAATCAATGGAATTGTTGCAAATGTTAACGATGAAGGTAGTATAACAAATGATAACGTCTGGTAAATTATTTTTTTCATTAACTAAAATGATAATTCATAAATTAAAATTGTATCTCATCCAATGAAATTATCGTAATGCAAATGAGAATTGATTGTATATATAATATTTTTTTTATTAATTTGTTAAGCAAACAAAATGAATATTTTTATTATTTTTAAAAGTACATTTTAATCATCACCTCAACAGGTAACAATTATAATTTAAAATATTTTTCGATTACTTTCAAACTATGCTACATGCAATTACATGCATGGCACAATTCGTTTATATCGTAGTAATCTCATTTCACAAAATTTTATAACCAAAAGCATTTTTAAGCAAAAAAAAACATTTTCTAATTACTGTATTATATGGATTATATATATATATACAAAAGTTGTTGTTATTTTTGAAATACTTTTAAATTTAAAAATAGCTCAAATTTTGGGGTGTTGAAATTATCATCTGTTTCATTTGACATGCTCACATTATGACATCATTTTTTCTCACACCGGTTTTGCAAAATTTATTGTAATTGAATTTTGTTAAAATTGACATTCATACTAGTTTAGAATATTAAGATTTTCTAGTTCATAATACGGTATCTATTACGCGCTACGGTATAAGGCGCAGTATACAGTATAACATGTTATACAGTAAATAGTGTACAGTCGAAAATTGGTCATGGCAACAGACGTGGTATCATACCATTAAAGTTCATATTAGCTACAATAGAAATCACTGATCATAGCAATAGCTACGGCATTAATACTACAATTCACATTAGCTTAATGATACTGTATCTATAATGCATAGCTTTATATCGTAATGCATTATAGGTACTGTATTATTCAATGGCAGCAAATGTATTAAAAACATTTATGTATTTTGTAATGTATTTTGTATACAACATTATTTATAACTATATAATTTGTGGCTATAATTAAAATTTTTTTGAGTTAACTTTTTAGATTTAAATTTTCATGATGAGATTTGAATGACAGTACCAATTTTAAAATGTTTTAATTCTAGAAAAGTAATTATGGTTTGATCTAAATGTAACTAATACTTAGCAAAAAGAATTTTGTAAACTTTTTACTATCATAATACTTAATAAGTATTAAAAAAAAAAAACTTACTTATTTTCAGGTCTAAATCAGGATCATTGCGAGAATTTCTCAATGATTACGATAGCATCATAAACAATACAAATCAAGCAATACAATCAAATGAACGAACTGCTGAATCAGGTTATCGAAGTGAATCAACAACATATGAAGAAAGTTTTTCCACAACGCGTTATTCCGATTTTGCTACACCTGAACACAGGTATGGATTAAAAGTTTTGCAATAATTATATGCAAAACACATCATTGTTCCTTTCCTTTTTAAATAAAAAAAAAAAATTATCGTTAAATGGTAAAAGTTTGCAACAAATTATTTAATGACTCTGTGATAAAAGTGATAAAATAATGAAATAGTGACAATTAATGAAGGTAATTAATTTTTGAATAGTATCTTTTGAAAAAGCAAAAAAAAAAAGACTGAAAAATTGTAAGAACAAAAAGGAATTCTATTACCATGAATTGCATGTATCTTGATTTTTTTCAGTTATTATTATTGTTATTGTGACTATCATTATTAATTACTATTATTATTATTATCATTATTATTATTATTAATTATTACTATTATTATTGTTAATTATTACTATTAATTATTATTATTATTATTATTATTATTATTATTATTATTATTATTATTATTATTATTATTATTATTATTATTATTATTATTATTACTATTATTGTTATCATTATTATTATTATTACTATTATTATTATTATCATTATTATTATTATTATTATTATTATCATTATTATTATTGCTATTATTATTATTATTATTATTATTACTATTATTA